ACATGCACACTAGAGCCAAGTGACAGTGGTACAAGAGTAACAGGAGTAGCAGATACTGACACACAAGCGTAGAGCCTCTCTCAGCTGTAAGTGTGAAAATTTTAATATATAAGTCGCACCAAGTGTAAGTTGCAGGACCACCCAAACCGTGAAAAAAAGTGCGACTTATAGTCTGAAAAATATGGTAACTACAGAACAATTTTGTATAAATAAAGTTCAAACATCTTGAGACAACTGCAACCAGTAAATAGTCTAACTTTGCATCAATTCATGTCCAACCAGGATATCAATTGGTGTATCACCAGGCAAGAAATTCCAAATGCAATTTTGATAGGGCCTAGATCATAAATTTTATCTTTCATCACTTTTCATCTCCACCTCCATATATTTATATTGTCTTAGGAGATAACTATATGATATACTTGTTCGTTCTTTATAAGTCAAGACATGAGTGAATAAACATTAGTGACTGGATTTAGATGCATTGCTATAGCTTGATTGTCATTTAGTTTTCCTAGGTCAAGATTTACAGCTCAAATGCAAATAGACTCAGGTCAAAAATGCACCCTCGTGTTGTTGTTGTCGAGAGGCCAGACTTTGTGCAGCAATCCCAGGCCAATTTATTTCAGTAAAGAAATGCCTCCGTGCGAGTGCTGTCACAATGAATTCTTTGACCAACAAAACAAACGTAAGTAAGGGCTGTCTGGTCAAAAGAAACCCTAAATAATAGATGAGGCAAAAACACCCCATAAAGCATTTTGAACCTTACCACGGCTCAGCACTCCGATCCCTGGAGGTTTCTCACTCGGCAAGAGCACCATATTTGCTTATTATCGTCCACGACTACCTGTTGGCCTGAGTCATCATAAGCGGATGATATAGTTGAGTGAGTGTGTGGGAGAGACCACCTCAGATGAATAGAAGCCTGTCCAATATTCCGTACACTGTTTTTTTTTTTTTTTTTTTTTTTTTTTTTTAACTGAGTCTGAGTGCTTTTCAGTTTGCTGCAAGCCAAGTGTATGAGGTAGCCTAGATTTTCAATACACTGGCCTGTTTTAGCTGCACCTGTATTGTGATAATGTTACAGTTTTCCATTCACAGACTAAATAACATAAAATAAATGAGTGCAATGATATAAATGTTTGCCACCTGCTTGCCTCTGTGGACTTTGGCTATAATATTCTACAGTTTGGTATTAACGTATCCATCTTGCATTTATTCAGTTACAGACCTGGAGGTGTCACTTGTTTGTTTCCGTGCGGAGAGCTGGGTATAATGCATTTCAGTACATTCAATTGTGTATGTTTATAAATGTAATTTGTTACTGATTCAATAGGCTTATGGTACCATCTGGTGCATCTTATGTTGAAAAGTGTGAGTTCACTGAAGTCAGTTCCATGAGAAGGCCACAATCTGTGGTCACCTCCTGGCTTACACAGTGACAATGTGGAGTGGCTTAACTTCTTATTTTCTTTCTCAAAGTACATTCAATGCAGTCCAGGACAATTTAAAACAAACAGCTTCCATATAGGTCTATCTGGTTTCCTTTAACAAAACAAACCATTTTACAGTTTTAGAGTCTATTTTGATGTCTGCTCAAGTTGCTCAAATAAACTCTTTCACCATTTTGTAATGGATGGTTGCATACCTTGATCTAGCTGTTCTTGGCTACTCTGGCCCATAAAGAATGGAACAAAAAAATCAACATCAGTGCTTTAATTTGAAATGTGTCAGGGAGATAGTTTTAGTTATTTGACCAATTACAACCATTTACTGTGCATGCAGAAATGACAATATTTGACAATTTATATTCAAGAACTAAAAACATTAAATCCACCCATAAAACTGTATTTGAATGCACTCTGAATGTGAATCAAATATTAAAATGCCAGCACAGCAGACGCCACTCAGAAAAAACAAGTTAAATTGAAAGTGGCTGTTATTAGGCTAATCTGGCTTAGACTAAGTGGTGTGGGTTAATGGATGTATCTCTAGGGGTCTCCCAGGAATGCAGTCAGGCATTTTACCACCAACTCTGTGACATCTGCCGGCAGTCTCTGGAGAAATATGACAATTGGTGGAATGAATCCCGTTTCACCCATCCAGTGGCACCAGACAGAATTGTTTGGGAGACTGGGAGTTGGCATTACAAGCAATATATTATGGATGACTGAAAATGTCCATGTTTTAATTGCATCAGCTCAATAAATTCATTGCAAGAAACATGTAATTGTGTTGATTTTGTGAAGGCACTGAGGTTTCTAAGTGACTTTAGTGATTTGAAGATTCTACATGTCAAAGGCTG